ATGGAACCAGAAGAGACCCCAAATAGCCAGAGGAATCTTGAAAAAGAAAAGCAAAGCTGGCGGCATCACAATTCCGGACTTCCAGCTCTATTACAAACCCGTCATCATCAAGACATGGTACTGGCACAAAAACAGACACATAGATCAGTGGAACAGAATAGAGAGCCCAGAAATGGACCCTCAACTCTATGGTCAACTTATCTTTGACAAAGCAGGAAAGAATGTCCACTGGAAAAAAGACAGTCTCTTCAACAAATGGTGTTGGGAAAATTAGACAGCTAGATGCAGAAGAATGAAACTGGACCATTTCCTTACACCACACACAAAAATAGACTCCAAATGGTTGAAAGACCTAAACGTGAGACAGGAGTCCATCCAAATCCTAAAGGAGAACACAGGTCGCAACCTCTTCGACCTCAGCCGCATCAACTTCTTCCTAGACACATCGCCAAAGGCAAGGGAAGCAAGGGCAAAAATGAACTATTGGGATTTCATCAAGATAAAAAGCTTTTGCACAGCAAAAGAAACAGTCCACAAAACCAAAAGACAACCGACAGAATGGGAGAAAATATTTGCAAATGACATATCCGATAAAGGGCTAGTATCCAAAATCAATAAAGAACTTATGAAACTCAACACCCAAAGAACAAATAATCCAATCAAGAAATGGGCAGAAGACATGAACAGACATTTTTCCAAAGAAGACATCCAAATGGCCAATAGACACATGAAAAAGTGCTCAACATCGCTCGGCATCAGGGAAATCCAAATCAAAACCTCAATGAGATACCACCTCACACCAGTCAGAATGGCTAAAATTAACAAGTCAGGGAATGACAGATGTTGGCGGGGATGTGGAGAAAGGGGAACCCTCCTACACTGTTGGTGGGAATGCAAGCTGGTGCAACTACTCTGGAAAACAGTATGGAGGTTCCTCAAACAGTGAAAATAGAGCTACCATACAATCCAGTAATTGCACTACTGGGTATTTACCCCAAAGATACAAATGTAGGGACCCGAAGGGGTACATGCACCCCAATGTTTATAGCAGCAATGTCCACAATAGCCAAACTGTGGAAAGAGCCAAGATGTCCATCGACAGATGAATGGATAAAGAAGAAGTGGTATATATACACTATGGAATATTAGGCAGCCATCAAAAGGAATGAGATCTTGCCATTTGCAACAATGTGGCTGGAACTGGAGGGTGTTATGCTGAGTGAAAGAAGTCAATCCGAGAAAGACATGTATCATATGACCTCACTGATATGAGGAATTCTTAATCTCAGGAAACAAACTGAGTATTGCTGGAGTAGCGGGGGGTGGGAGAGATGGGGTGGCTGGGTGATAGACATTGGGGAGGGTATGTGCTATGGTGACCGCTGTGAATTGTACAAGACTGTTGAATCACAGATCTGTACTTCTGAAACAAATAATGCAACATATGTTAAGAAAAAAGAAAAAGAAGAAGATAACAGGAGGGGAAGAATGAAGGGGAGTAAGTCGGAGGGGGAGACGAACCATGAGAGATGATGGACTCTGAAAAACAAAGTGAGGGTTCTAGAGGGGAGGGGTGTGGGGGGATGGGTTAGCCTGGTGATGGGTATTAAAGAGGGCACATTCTGCGTGGAGCCCTGGGTGTTATGCACAAACAATTAATCATAGAACACTACATCAAAAACTAATGATGTAATGTATGCTGATTAACATAACAATAAAAATTTTAAAATAAATAAAAAAATAAATGACACACACACACACACACATACACACACAAAATCAGCACCTGGAATAACATTACCTGCACATAGTTCCAACCTAGCGATTTCCCCTCCTGGAATTAATCCTTCCAGAAATGCTTAAAAAGTGTGCAAGGATCTTGTCCAGTGATGTTTATTTCAGTATGGCTTTTGATAGCAAGAAGTCAGAAAGTCCAAATGTCCAACAGATTGGCTAAATAAATGATGATGGAATCAAATCATGGGATAGTATGCAGCTGTTAATAAAAGAATGGTGTAGTATATATATATAGACATATTAACAAGCAAAAAGGTCCATGAGCTATTAAGTAAAGCAAATTACAGGGTAACATGTATATAGTATCTCATTTCACTTAAAAAAACAAGTACTTTCATTAAAATGTTTATACTTGTTAATATTTCTGGCACATAGACATAAAAATAATCAATACTTACTATGAGCCAGGTATTAAGTGTCTTACATATGTTAATTTTAGGATGATATCTGTGAAGTAAAGACTATTGTGTCCATTTTTGCATGGGGAAAGAGGATACACATCTAGGAGGTGGCAGAACCAAGATTTGAACCTTGGCAGGCTGGTATCAGAGGCTGAATCCTTCTAGCAGGTGTTCACTAAGTGGCTTCAGTGTGTGTATGTGTGTGTGTGTCTGTGCATGTGCACGTGATTCACAATGTGAAAGGGTATGGAAAGATATACATCCAAATGTTAACATTGATTATGTCTGAGGAATAGAGTTAGGAAAGAATAGCAATAATAATATTAATGTTGATATGATTCCCTTTATTGATCATCAATAAATTGACTTCTTCAATGTGACTCTGACCCCAACCAAAAAAAAAAATATGAGAAAGATTCACAACCTAATAAATACAAGGAAGAAATTAATTGACTCCAGTCAGTTGAGGAAGGAAATTAACTGAAATCCTAGTAGGAATACCAATTTCTATCTATCCAAACTGGACAGTAAAAACATGAAAAGAGGGGCATCTGGGTGGCTCAGTCAGTTAAGGATCCAACTCTTGGTTTTGGCTCAGATCATGATCTCAGGGTCTTGAGATGGAGCCCTGCATTGGCATGAGTGTGGGGTCTTTCCTCAACACACAGAAAAATCTCAGGTAGAATCGTCCTGCAAAAATCTTGTCCTCAATTCCATGGCTGAGGAAACCTCATTAAAACTCCCTTTGAAATGTGAAATGTATTCTTAGCTGGGAATGCTATTTTATTCCCTTGGGGAGGTTAAACATTGGTAGGCAAACTAAGACCCCATAGTGTTAACACTTTTGTGTTTGATTTAGAAAGTTTTGTGATCTTTGGTATAATCTGGAAAGTGGTTGTTGAAAGGGTTTGGAACAATTCAACACATTAGAGAAGCTAACTGATTAACCATGTGATTTCACTGCCAAAAGCAATTAGATGTGTGATAAATGTGTATTTAGTATGAACACTGTAAGAGAACACAGCTGTTGATAAATGGTTTTGAATATTTAAAAAAATCTGAATTATTACATTTACACATTTGATTGATTGGATTTATGAATCCCTTGAATGCACAATGACTTTGCCTTTTAGGTTTGTAAATCTTCCTCATTAGGTATTTGAAATTTGGAGGGAAATAAGAATATTCGTATAAAATGAGGGAATCTAACTAAATTTGTAAAATTGGTTCATTTATGGAAATTTAATCTGAAAACCCTAGGAGTGAATGTACACTTAATGAATAAATATGTTTTACCAATAAATTAATTTTAAATCAAATTACAAATGAAAGCATTATTCTTATTTTGGTACAAAACCAACCAAATTTATTAATAAACTAACAACAACTGTAAGTTTGACTTAAAATCTTAAGAAAAACTAGGTTTTCAAATCTACCATTGTAATGGCTGAGTAATCTCATCTCTAGGTATTTACCCTGGAGAAATGAAAAATCAGGGACACACACACACACACCCAGACAGACACACAGATATACAAACTGTATGCGAATGTTTACAGCAGCTCTACTGATTAACGCCCAAAGCTGAGGTGGGGGTCAGGGTAAGAGGGAGATGTTGATCACGTGGAAGCAACTCAGATGTCCTTCCCAAATGAATGGATAAACTGTGGTACATCCATAAAGTGGGGTACTACTCAGCCATTAAAAGGGATGAAGCGCCCACCTGTGCTTTAATGTGCATGAACCTTAAAAATATTACACTCCGAGTAAGAAGCCAGACACAAAAATATTACACTCCCAGTAAAAAGCCAGACACCACATTTTGTAGGACTCCTTTTTCATAACATACCCAGAACAGGTACGCCTAAAAAGACAGAAAGCAGATTAGTGGTTGCCAGGGGCTAGGGGAGGGAGGGATGAGGAACAGCTGCTTCGTGGGTCCAAGTTTCCTTTTGGGGGGATGGTGGTGGTGGTGGTGATGTTTACACAATGTTGTGAATGTAGACAATGTCACTAACAGTTATAAAAAAATAAGAATTGGGACTATTGATCACAACCTTGATGAATCTCAAAGGCATTATGCTGAGTGAAAGAAGCCACATCCTGGGGGCGCCTGGGTGGCTCAGTTGATTAAGCGTCTGCCTTCAGCTCAGACCATGACTCAGCCCCATCCGGGGCTCCCCGATCAGCTGGGAGCCTGCTTCTCCCTCTGCCTCTCCCCCCACCCCCACTCATGCTCTCTCTCTCTCCCCCCCATAAATAAATAAATAAAAATCTTAAAAAAGAAAGAGAAAGAGAGAAAGAGAGAAAAAGAGAGAAAGAGAGAAAGAGGAAAGAAAGAAAGAAAGAAAGAAAGAAAGAAAGAAAGAAAGAAAGAA